TATATACATACATGTTTAAAGAGAGATGAAGTTATGTTAGTGTAGTTTTTATAGTTTTATTATACATCATTCAATAACTTCCAATTAAACTATATATTTTTTAAAATCTATCATTAAATTGAAATTTTATTTAATTAGAATTGTATATACAAAATTTTATATTTATCAAAAATAAATAAATACCTCATTCATATAGATAAAAATTGAAACGATATATATTTTTTATACTAAAATATAAGTAATTTAATTATATTCTTATTGTTTAATTTTAACAAAAATTTAACATACACATTAAAATACAAGTTTGAATATAAAAAATAGTGATTTTAACAAAAAAAAAATGATTAAAATAAGAAACTTCTAAATACTAAAAACAAAACCTATTGTAGTAAAAAACAATAACTATTAACAATATTTTCATCTCTATCTCTAAATTACATTTGAATAGATTTTTCCCCAAAAAAAAAACTGTCAATGGCTAAAAATAACTTTAAATTATAATTTTATAAAAATTTAAAATATAATTTATATATTGAGAATACAATTTTATTATAAACTTAATTATATAAAATAAAAATATATTTTCTACCACACTATTATCAATACAGAAAATAGCGATTGTTTTTGTTAAAAGAAGGTCGAAAGGAAAGTCGGTTTCGTTCATTTCATAACACGAGAAAAAAAGAGAGAGAAAGTGATTAGAATAAGTTTGATAATGATAACACATAACACCGTCAAATTTGGTTCGTCTGAATTGAGGGTCTTGTGTAAGCGCACGCTTCTGTTTCATAGTTCTTCATTTTGATTTTGATTTTGATTTTGGATGGACAAAGGTAAAGGTGCAAAGGCATTAGCGACCTCTTTGCAGAACCTCGATTTGAATCCACCATCCAACGTCAAGTCCAAGCCCTCCATTACAATCGCCCATCCTCAATTTCATGGTAATTTTAATTTTAACCCCACTTTTCTCAAAAAAAAAAAAAAAAAGAAGAAGAAAAAAACTGAAAACACTCATTTGGGTCTTTTATTGTGATTGATTTTTTGTTTTGATCATGTAGCTGTTTTTGTAGCAAGTGCACATTGTTTAATTAGGGTTTGATCTTAGATTCTGTGTTTGTATGACCCGCTTATGATGAAATTAAAGAAGCTTTGGTTTTAGTTTTGCACCTGAGTAGGATGATTAATTTTTTTTTTCGTTGAAGGAGACACTAGGTAGGTGTAGTTGTGAGAGGTTTGGGTAGTTTAAATGTGGTTAGGGTTTAAACCTTGGTGGCACCATGTATCATTTTTTTTTTCATAAGCATATGCCACAGAAAAAGCATTATCAGATTATTTGAGATTTTTTTTTTGTGCAGGATTACTTCCTAAGAAGACAAAGCCTCCGAGTTTAGTCAGCCTTTGCGTTGGAGTTGTTGGAAGACATTTAGAGGATATTATTGCAGATTTGAGTGAGATTGCTATCAACTTGCCAGCTGATATAAAGGTAGATTGCTAGGGACTGATTTTGTTTCTTCAAATCTTTTAATACGTCATTTATCCTAATGCTCATATTTGTCTGAAAGTGAAATTCTAAAGTTATAGTGTGATCAATGCAAATGTCTGGGAAACAGATGTTTCTCTGGGATTGCTTGATTTCTTTGCTTTAGAAACATCCTTTGTTGAGAGTTGAGACACCTGTGAACAAGAATATTCTAAAGTGGTTGAAACTTGTATTCTGCTTACTGTTCCAAACTCTTCTTGTTGATCCCTTGTTAAAAATATTTGATTATGTTGTCTCCCCGAAAAAAGAACAAAAAGAATCCTTCATCATGTACATACATATGATAGAATTAAAGAAGTTATTTACATTTAATGACAGATAGCAGTGGCAGCTATTGCTAGAAGAAGAAAGTTGCTGAATGATGAAGTCCTGATTGCATTAGCTGATACTTCCTGGGAAATCCTTGATGTCTCTGGCTCAGATGTCTCTGATTTTGGCTTGATAAAAGCAGCTGAAGTATGTGGATCCATTAAAGCTCTGGATATAAGGTATAGAATTACAACAATTTTTTTTTCAAAAATAACAAAACAATTACTATGGCTTCATTGTATTGCAAAAAATCTTATGTCTGAGAACAAATATGCTGAAAAAACCATAATTTTCATAATATTTGTATATTCAAATTTCAAAGACATTTCATACAATATGCTCTAGCTTGTAGTCTTAACTCTTAAGCTTATTTGATTCTACAAGTACATGTGACATGTCTCATGCAATGGACTGGATGGCAGGCACATTTTGAGATAAGAATTTGTTTAAACTATATCATGAGTTTATTGAAAGTTGGTGATTAATACAGATTGATTTTTATGCTTAGGTCTTCTTCTATAGTAAAATTAATTGAATTTCATGATTTTACTTCCGCTGGATGTGATGATTATTAACTTTCTTCAACTTGATTCTGGTATGTCAACAACTTGCCATGAGGTTAGCATATCACATGATTCATGTCTAGCATGCTTAGGAACATGTTTGTAGTCTTGTAGTGTGTTTTTATATTATTCTTCTGTCTTTCAGAATCACTTGATATATTGAGACTATTTGCAGCCGGTGCACCAAAATTACTGCCAATGGTATATCTGAGCTTGTGAAGCACTGCTATTTATTGGAGACATTGAGATGCGGGTATATATCTTATGTTGTCTACTTAAATTTTATCTCTTTGCTAATGCAGCTTGTCCATCGTGTTGTTATTAGACTGTATTGGATTTGTCATTTAAGACATAATCTAAAAACTCAAATTTTGCATCATTGGGCCTTTTAGGTACCATGTTCTTGTTACTATTGTATCTGTCATAGTTTTAAGTTAGGATATGTAAATTGAATTTGCTTATAAAGATGATCAAAATGTATTTATGATACCAAAAATTGGCTTTGATATTTGGTCTATTCTCAAGAAGGAAATGTTATCTAAAACTTGGGAATTTGTTGGTATTGAGAAAGTTATTATATTTTTATTCTTGCTTTTATTTAAAAATAATTAAATGAATTTAACAGGGTGGAAAATTATGTTGTTTTAAAATCTTCTAGTTTTTATTTTTCATGATGGCAGTTTCCTACTTTATTACATAATGATTTTCATTTATCCATTACAATCACATTGGATACAAGACTGTGTTTTGACTAGGATTACATCATTACAAAACTCATAAAGGCAATGAACCATAATTAATATTGCAGAGGCTGTCCAAGGAGTGATAACACTGCTCGGAGATGCTTGGGTATATTTAAACCAAGGTTTGATTATGTGGAGGAGGATTCTTGGGAGGAGCTTGATATGAAAGAAATTGCTAGTGGTGCACAATCACTCAGGTGGCTTGTATGGGTATGAATTTAATAACTTTTGTCTGGATTATGGTAATTTGTAACTGAATGCCAATATTTATAGCTTCTGAAGTGCAAAAGTTTATGTATTTCTTGTTTAGCTGGATGTCTTTGTTTTTATGGTAGCATTGCTTGGCGGAGACATGCATACAATGCACTTCCTCCAGCTCATGGGGGAAAGAGTGAGGAGTAGGAAAAAAATTTAGGCATGATGGTTAAAGCTTTTTCTTTGATTCTCATGGCATATAGAAAACAGAAGTTACTAATGTTTTTACCTGACTGAGATTTCTCCAAGAAGTGATTTATTTTATGTTTTATTTGCAGCCAAACATTGATAAAAATTCTTTAGAGGACTTCTCCAGCGAGTGCCCACGTGTTGTAGTAAATCCTAAGTCATCACTCTTTGGGTTTATGGGAACTGAGGTTCCTCGGGGAGCATTAAAAAATATCATATTGGATGATGAAGTTGTCGGGGATATTGATCCCAGAACATGGACAAAGCATGGATTTGCATTGAAGCCCATCCCTCCATCTTCTTCTAGTTCCACTGAATTATCAGTGGCTGAAAAGTTCAGACTTGCATTTGAGGAAAGGGACAACCGATTAGCTCCAAAGCGAGCTAAAAATGCTCGGCAACATCAGCGTCGTGCAGTGCGAGATTTGATGTTGATGAGCACAAGAGCCAAGGCAATGGTCTTAGCCTCACAAGTAAGCAAGTCTCTTCATGGCCGAAGCTCATAGAATTCTCACATCACATGCCTTTTTCAGCTGCTCCAAAATGTACTCTTAATTACTTCTATATAGTAAGAAGTTGTTGGTCAGACAGATTTTGAATCCAAGATATGTCCTTTAACAAGCCGGAAATATCAGAGCTTTCAATTTGTGCCCTGTTTGAGGTTGTCACAAAGTGAAAAATTGTTCAGTTGCGCATGTTATCGAAGAGACATGATTGCCTGTTGCTTCATTATTGTGGAAATATAAAATTAATTTTCGAATATCCATTGGCATTGCTTTGGAAGAAGCTCTTGATTCAAAAGGGATAAAGGATCTGCATGATATTTGGCTGAAAGTCATTGATATGGTACTGCCACCCAATGGTGCTGCTTCTGAGAAGGCCTTTTGCATGGTGGAATGGTGTAATGCATGGCTATTCCTCTGTGTAAACTCAACTGCTTATAATTGACTGTTATGAGAAGGGTTGATGACGAAAAGGACCATGTCTGGCAATTTATACCCTGTTTGTAAAAGAAAATATCACAAACGGAGTTTGCGGGTGCGATTTCCAATATAAATTTTCTAAAAGGCAAAAAATTTACTTGCTACTAAAATTTTGATGTGAATCGGATGCAAATAGGCTTTTTTAGCTATAAGTATGTGTGCGAATTTGTGTTTGTAATATTGATTTTGGATAAACTTGAGTTTATGCAAGTGATTTTATTGTGCTTGGATACATTTATAAAGCGAAAAACTATGCCAATTTTGTAAAAGTTGTAGAAGCTAATAATGATAGCTTCTGATTAGATGAAAATATTTTGTCAAAATAATTTTTTTCATGTTTAAAAGTATTTACGAGAACTCTTTTTAATCCAATGAATGTTGTCAAAATGAGGTTTATTAAAAATACATAGATGCATAATTAACTATTTAAATATAATAATCTAATATTGAATTATAAAAACATTTTTATCGAATAATTATGAATGTTAGTTTAATATATTTTAATTTTTTAAAAGAATATTTTTTTTTATAAAAAGCTTATAAAATTAGGAATTTATTTTATTAATTATTAAAATAATTAATTATAGAGAAAAATGAAAAATAAAATTTAATTGAAAAATATGATAGCTTATTCTAATAGTAAATATCAAACTTTAACTTATAATAATAAAAAGACTTGTAATTTTTACAAACATAACATGTTTTTAAATGGTTTTGTTTTTATATAAAGCTTTTTCCTCCAAACAACATAGATCCAATACAAACATGTAAAAAAAATAAATAAAAATGAAGCAGTGCATAAACTATTTCTTAAATTTAATTTTTTATATAAGTCTTAAAAATAGTTTATTCTTTTAAAATCACCAATAACATAATCAATAGAAACTGATTAAATTAACCGTATAACATTATTTTATTTCATTAATAAGAAAATTAATAGATAAATTTTGCATCCCAAATTAAATAATAATTAAGTTTTATGTGATAAGTTTATTAATGATGTTTGAGTGATTTTTTTTTTCTTCTTCTTCAAATTAGATAAATAAAAATTAACTATAAATTTGACAGAAAAACTTAATACACTTAAAATCTATTTAGAGTCTATTTATTTACAGATGTTTTTTAAAAGAGTATTTCTTTTAAAAGTAGATAGAAATTATTTATAAAAAAAATATTTTTAAAAATATGTTTAGACAAACACAAAAAAAAAATGCTTATTTTCATTTAAAAAAAAATACACTTTTAAAGAAGGAAAAAAAAACCTTAATCTTATCAGTATTATTACGAAATAACAGTACAATTTTGTTGGTTGGGGGGGTGGGGGGAATTTATAGTGTTTTCGAGTATTCTGAGTTGCGATGAAGTGGCAGAGTCGCACGCAGAGCGCGCAGGAATAGAAGCAAAGAAAAGGTAGACAGAGAAATGTGGAAGAGAGCGTTGGTCGGCGCCGTGGGTGCTCTCCGGCGGCCATTTTCGTCGGGAGGCGGCGGCATCTCCTCCGCCGTGAACTCGATGATTCTTCGCTCCCTCAAGGATCACTATCTAGAAGTCGCCAAAATGAACATGCCCCCTGTACTCTCTCTCTCTCTCTCTCTCTCTTTCTCTCACTCTCATTATGTGTGCACGTGTGTTAGGGTTTTAGGGTTTAGTTTTTCACTCACGTGACACTGACACGTGCGTGGCAGAAAGTGAGTCCTCCGTCGCCGTTCACGATCGTGAAGGGGGCGCTGGACTCGCACGGTCCGGTCCTGAGGCGGAGCTACGGCGACGAAGAGGTGAGCATCTACGTCATGCGGCTCTCCGCCCCCGACGACGACGACTCCGCCATCGACCAGCTCTTCATCCACGTCGACGTCTCCAAGCCTTCGCAGAACGAATCCTTGATTTTCCTCTGCGGTTTGTACGAGGATGCTTTGGGGATTCACTCCGTCTCCATGCGCCCCAAGGTTCAAGAATCTGGATACCTCCTCATCCCCTCCCAATACACCGGTCCTGTTTTTGCGTGAGTACTCTCTTCTCTCCAAATTTCTTGTACCATGTATATGTATGTCAATTTTTGTTTGTTTAGGGTTTGTAAGGTTTGGAGATTCAACCTTTGGAGTATATACAGGTATTAGGTGGAAAAAGATAAATGAATGATCGATGGTTGGACATGGAGATTCCATGTTTACTAGTGATATGGTCTGTGTTCATAGTCATGGGCTAAGCAGTGGTTGTAAGGCCTCCTCTGTGATACGGGATTGACTTGGTGCTTCTAGGTTGGATTTCTGTCAACATTAAAATAATATTTGACCAGTTTTTGGTATTGGTTTGAGGCACTGTGTGGAGTCATGGTCCATGTTCATGGACAAAAAAAATAGTGAGTGTTCTCACCGATCTCCACATAACATATAACTGAGATTTTTAATTTACAAGAAAAAAAAAATTCAGCAACATGTCCTGTTGGAAGAGTGGGCTTTTAGAATTGAGTTAGACTCGTCTACATTGTTATACGGTGCTGAACATATCCTAATGATTGTTGTTAGGTTTATTAAGTCACTCATTGACGGATCATTTGCTAGTCTTGTAAACTCCACAACATGTCGAATAATTGACATGAGGATTGGCGGGCACGTGAAGAGGTGTGTTGGAGGTACAACATTAACTAGTGAATCGGCTAAAACTTTCACTCAATGAGCTAGTTTTTGGGTTGAGTGAGGTGGAAAACCTAAATTATATGGAAATTGAGTTTTTCTAGCTATGAAGTGTAGCTATTAGGAAGAAACTTTGAATGGTTTTTTGTAGATATTTGGAGTTTAGGATTAGAACTTAGGAGAATGGAATTGAAGTAGTCAAGTAGAATCCGTTCAGCAATCTTCCTCGATTGCTGTAAAACGTAACAGGAGTAGTGGCGTATTGGCTCTTGTTTTCCAATGTGATAACAAGTGTTGAAAATATTTCAACCATGCGAGTTCCTTCATTTCGTTTTGGAACTCATTGTGAGTGTTTAATTTTGGTCAATGTTATGCGCTTCATTTTGACGCCCTTTGCTGGTTGGAAAAGATAGGCTGGACTAACTATTAAGGAGAAGAAACTGCTGAATTGTGTTTTTGTATTTTGGGGGAAGAAAAAAGTTCTTATTTTGTTGAAAAATATGATCACTTGTGTTGTCCTAGAATGCCCGTTTTGTATTTTATCGTATACCTGCTAAATTTCTCTTCAAAACTATAATGTTTTCGTGTGGGGAAACTGGGAATGCTACGGTTTTTTTTTTTTTTTTTTTTTTTTTTATAGTTTTGACTGACTACATTCTGTAAATTGACAGAGAACTAGATGAAAATATGAGAGATGCGTTTCATAGTTACATTGAGGAGCGAGGAGTGAACGAGAGCCTCTTTAAATTTCTTCAAGCGTGGCTATATGTGAAGGAACATCGAAATCTGATGCGGTGGTTCAGAACGACGGGCTTGTTCATTGATGGAAAGAAGTCAGCTACAGAGAAGCCTGCTACAGATGCTTAACCCTCTTTAGAGGTCATGTATTTTGCAAACGGACTTTTACAGTAATCATGTTATGAATTCAAAACTTCCAAGTTTTTCAATTTAAAAGTACCTTAAGTTTCATAATTGACTATTAGGTCATATATTTTGGAGGTTCAACCAATCCACATGAACACACAAGCACATTAAAGCTAGTGGTAAATTTTATCAGTTTAACTATTTATGATATTTGATATGATTATGACAATATACATACAAAATTTAAGATGATTTTTTTTTTGAAAGTATCAAAATGCAATAGTTGGTATTAATTCCAATATAAAAGTTCTGGGCCAAATTGTATTCTTAGTTCCTTTAATTTCACCAATTTATAATTTTGGTCCCTCTATTTTAAAATATAGGCATTTAATCTCTCTAATTTTTAAAATACAAAATTTTAGTCTTTTGGTCAAATTAATATTTATTAATTGTTAAATTTTAACGTTTATTCATATTTAAGTAGTGTAATATTTAGTAACATGATATTTACAGACAAAAATATGTCATTTTTTAATTTTTATCTAGATATGTTACATTGTTAAATATTGAGTTAAATAATGTCAACATTTAATGATTAACAAATATCAAATTGATGATAAGATTAAAATTATGTATTTTTAAAAATAAAAAATTGAATATTTTTATTTTAAAATCAAGAAACTAAAATTGTAGAATTATAAAAATAGAGAACTCAAGTAAGTATAATTCTATATGTAATATCAAGTAGATATCAAATACTACACCAAACTAACCAAACTAAGGATAGAAACCTTTTACCACCAAACTATAATTTATAAATGTACTTGATTTGTCCTTCTCACTAATTGTATATTGCATAAAGTTAATTTGATGGGTTTAGCTTTTAAAAATTAGAATCGATACATCTTGAAATTAAGTTTGACTTATATTATGTTTGTATAAAATTTAAAAGTGTTTTTAAAAGTTTTTTTTATATTGAAAATAGAGTATTTTTTGGTAGAAGTGCTAAAAAATATTTATAAATTTGTATCCAAGTAGACTCCAATATTTTATGATATTTTAGCTTGGTTTAATGTCTTTATTTATTTTTTCTTCTAAAAGTATATATTTCTAGTAGTTATGTATTAATAATCTAGATTTTTCTAAGAAGAAAATAAACCAGATAATAAATCAAATTACCCAATAGATGAACAAAAAAGACACAAAAAATCCTAGATTAGAGAATAAATTCATAGACTAAAGTAAAACACACAAAAAGTCATAGATTATGGAATATATCAAAGATTACACTAATCCAGAGACAAATCAAAGAGAGAAATGATCCAGGGAGATAACTTGAACAAGCAATGAGAGAGTGCGAGAGAGAAACAGAGAGAGTGAGGCTCAAGTGACACTAAGGTAGTGTCTGTTTCCGCTGATTTACTGTTCACGACAAACGAAAGGCGAAGAAATTTCACGTTTGTTTCTACTGATTTACGAGGAAAGAAAGGCGAAGAAAAGAGGGAGAAGGGGCATTGGGCTTCTTCGCATTTTTGCGAAGAAAATAGATGAAAGCCACGTAAGATTTGAGAAAATTTCATAATACCCCTGCCCCATGCATGTGCCATACAGCAAAGGAACGAAACATAATCGATTATGCTGAGGACATAATCGATTATGCAAGCCCATAATCGATTAGGTGGCTTGCATAATCGATTATGCTCTCGATTATGCTCTCAACATAATGGATTATGCAAGCCACATAATCGATTATGTGCTTGCATAATCGATTATGGTAGGCTGTTTTCGTTTCCAGGCAAAAGCAAAACGGGTCGTTCCAAAAATCAGTTTTATGAGCAATATGCGAAATCAGAACTGCCGGTTCTAATTTGGGAACGGCAGTTCCAATTTGAGAACGGGCCGTTCTGGTATGAACAAGGGCCGTTTTGAGTATCAACTTTTAGCATGAAAAATGACGCCAAAACGACCGTTTCGGAATCAAAACGGGCCGTTCTGGCCGCATTGATTTGTTAATAAATAAGAGTTTTCATATATATATATATATAAAATAATAACACTTTCATAAACATTAATAAAATAATATTAGAAAATATAATTATCATAATATATATTTTTTTATTATTTATTATTATAAATATTATTATTATTATTTTCATTATTATTAATATTTATTATTTATTATAATTAGTATTATTATTATTTATTATAATTCTTATTATTTTTCTAATATTTATTATTATTCTTATCATTATTTATTATTTTTTTTAATAAATTATACCTATTAATATAAATTTATTGTAATTATTATTATTTACAATAAATAATATTATACTCATTTTTAATTCAAGAGTAAAAGTATAAATTACATATTCATCTATTAAATTTTTAATTTTTATCTCATTAAATTTAAAGCAAATATTTAAATTAAATTATTTTTAAATTAATATTTTATATTTATTTTTTTAGTTAAAATTTATATATTTATATTTTAATTATAATAATTATATAAAAAAATTTAACCTAAGGGCAAAATAGTAATCTTACACAATTATCAATTAAAATATTTATTTTTATCTATCATATCAATCAATTCACTCACAAATTTTCACAAACTTTCTCTACACTTTCCACTCACTTTCCTTTAATCTAAACAACCTCACTTTTCACTCACTTTCCCTTTAAATTTCTCCTTTTCCATTCCCCCTTTTCCATCTTCAAATCCAAACAAAGCCTAAGAGATGCATGCAAGAGTGAGGAGAGTGAACACGCAAGATAAATTTTAAAATTCTCTCGATCTACGTGGAAATTGAAATCCTGAAATTTTAGTCTATTAAAATTATTATAAAAATTCTAAAACTTTTAAATCTCTTAATAAAATATCCAAACACACTATTTAGTCACAATTTTTTTTTAAATCTTTACTAAAATTATTTTTCTGATTTAAAATCTCTTAATAATTCATGTGATTTGAACTAATAAACTGAATCTATTATTAGCGAGTTTGAATCGAATCTAGTTTGAATTTGAAAAAGAAAATTTATATTAAACTCAAATTGAATTTTGAGTCAAATCATATTGACTTATTTTCGATTTCAATACAGTATAAAACTAACAACGAAACAATCATCTTATTATTATTATTCAATAATTAGTACCATAAATAAATGACTGAATTCTTTAAGCACTACACTATCCTATGATTTCCAAAATAAAAAAATCCTAAGCAATGAGGCTTTGAATAAAGCTGCGACCTCAAAGTAAAAACAAAGCAAATGCTGTGTATCTATTGGAAATCAGAGTTTTTATTAAACCATTTTAATTGACTTGGCATGTGAAACTCCGTGGCACTGCTGCTTTGTCCTTGCAAGACATCAAAGTTTGATTCAGCTTCAATTGTTGACAAGACATTGAACTTTGATTCAGCTTTTGCCTGTTGGACTTGATTCTTGTGACAATCAATCTGAGTTTCTATTTGAGAAAGTGCAATTTCTGTATTGCTAATTTCTTGAGACAATTTAGAAATGACCCCAACGCATCCATAAACAGGGTTTCGAATCCTACACTGTGCTTCATAATACAAAGTATTTGCAGCTTGTTCACGTAAATACGGTGGAATTTGCTGTAAGATAAAAAATTTACATTAGGTTAATTTGTAACATAATCTTTACTGACTTTGCATGACATTTTCTAACTTTAATATTGAGAATATATATATTGTATATTAATATAAACACATTGATAATTTGGCATGAAATATTATGTATTTAAAAGACCTGAAGCATCTTTCCAACATTGCTGCCACCATAGATTCTGTGAACAGAAGCAAATCTTTGAGGATCATTGGCAGGGAAATATGGAGCGAAGATGCAATCTGAAGGGCATCTTCTTCTTTGATTCTTGCAAGCTGCACACCTACCAGACATCATGATATCGAATCTTAAGAAAAGAGAGGAAATCCAAGGAAAATATTTGGCATCCAAAAAATATTTCTTTACTAAATTTTGCTTTTGGCCAGTGGGAGTATATCTTACATAATATTTCATGTTTCATTTGAGATGAGTATTTGTATTGTAATAGGTTTAATGCCCTTAACGGCTACTTTGTCAATATTACAGTAAAAAAAGGAAAGTCTTGTAAATTAAGATCTAAAAAGAGAAATTATCCTGAATCAAGGGTATATCACATGAAAATTAAAGGAGACGAGTAATTTTTCAACAAACAATTCAAGATTTTTATTATTATTATTATTATTATTATTAATGTAGGATGGATTTCAAATAAAGAAGTCCTTTCACTTTTGTCCGTCAAGTCTCGGATAAGAATAATAATAAAATAATTAAGTGCGTTAGGTTTCAAATTTTAATTTTAATTTGTGTTTGAAAACCTAAATATGCTCAAATTTTAGGTGTGATATAAATTTCTAAATCCTACACCCTAAACCCTAAATTATATGTTTGGATAATTTTTTTCAAAAATACTTTTAAAAAAAGAAAAAAAATCTTCATAAGCTAAATTAACTTATGTATAAATTAATTTTTAAAAGTTCTATTTTTTTTTAGTTTTTTCAAAATCATATATTTGACTTTATCATAAGTTAATTTTAACTTATGAAAAAATTTGTTTTGATTTTTTTAAAAACATTTTTCTCATAATATAATTAAAATAAAAACCCATTTAAAACTATTTTATTCCTGCACCACCACCAAACCTAAATATTTGAATGTCAAACAATAGTCCAAGCCTATATTTCTTACTGTGACATCCTCTTTTTTCTATATCCTTTATTGTTAAAAATAAATAAATTAGTATTTTATCTGAGTTAAAATAATTAAAAGAATTTGTAATTAATTATTTAAAAAAAAATCACAGATTCAGTTAAATTAAAATTTGTGCCTGAATTGAAACAAATTTAATAAGCCGAAATATTTAAAATATCGTTTAATAAAATTTAGTTTAAATTAACTTGCAAGTCTCTATAGTTTTATTTATCAAATTTTTAATTAAATCTTGGTAATTAAGAACACTTAAAAAATATAATTTAACAATTTTGTAATCAAATCATTATATAATACTGTTATAATTCCGTTATTTTCATTTGTGTATATATTAAAAAAACAATTATCATTTTTATTTAGACGAAATATGCATAACACATATAATGAACATACACAAAATATATATTCAATTACCTTATTAATCAATTATAATATATATAAATCGTATTTTTTATTCAGCATAGGATATATTTCGTTATTAACAGATTTTAAAAAATGGCTACGGGGTATCTGTTAATATAAATAAGATAATTACAAATAATTTAAACTTATAATTCTTTTCATTTTTAACATATTATGAACAATTTCTTTTTATTGTTTTTGATATTATTTTATTTTAAATTTATTGATTTACTTTTAACATTATACATATTTTAATTATTATAATTTACTTTTGACATTGCACATGAAATTGGGTATGGTGGTGGGTTATGGAGATTGCTAGACATTGAGCCTCAGATGAGGGAGAAGATGAACCATGATTGGGCATTTGATATTGGGTTGTATTAGGCCACTTGTGTTTTATTCTTGAAAAAAAAAAAAGAGACAGAGAGGGTATGCATATCTAAAATGGAGGTGCAGGAAGCAAGAGCCCAATAACAATAATAAAAAAGCATTTTTTTGTTTTTGATCTTAATAAAAAGCATACAAACTACACGTTGAGTCTTTTCCCACTTTGGGCCGTCGTTGGTGAACATAGAATGATGACAATTGACTGTCCCTCTAATCGTCAATAGTGTGGGCCGTAAAAATTGTGGGTAGCTAACCCAATTCAAAAAAGTAAAAAAAAAATAAAAACTCCACTTGAGGTAAGACACAATATTTTGAGTAAAACTTGAAAGCAAACAAAAACGGAGATAATTGGTAAACGTTTAAGAATTAATAAGTGGAAAAAAATTATTATCAATGATAAGTAATTATTTATATATAACGTTACTATTAACAATAAAAACCATAATAATGCTCAATAGTGATAATAATGATAAGATTTAGAATAATATATTAATATTATTATTAATAAAAATGATAACACAATAAGAATAATGAAAGTGAATAATAACATAAGTAAGCCTTATCTTATCATAAAATTTAATAAACATGTGAATAAATTATGAATTTAAATCTTTCAGAGTAGGTGAAAGTACGGAAGAATGAGAATAAATACGTGAAATTTCACCTAAAAATTTTATTTGATGTGAGCACGCATTCTCATACTAGCATTGTTGGATGTGCTATTTCAAAGTAACTATCTCCATTCTCCTCTATTGAAGTGTGAAATTTGTAATGGAGGCTAAAAGGATTTTGAGAATGATTAACGTATTTCATCTCACATGTGATTCTAAATCGTGGTTAAATATTTTACACACTAATGCTCATAATGAATTGTTATAATTTATGTATGATAGTACTTTCATGTGCGTGTGATAACCAAATAATATTGTTACCATTGTAGAATTTTGGTGAAATCACCTAATTATGTGAATATTGATTGATTTATACACTTGGGTCAATGAAGTGTGAACTTCTTCTATTCATGTTATTTTGTTACTAGAATATTTTTCAGAGATAAATCAACATTTTTGCATTTATACATTTCATTTGACTGATATATTTTTGAATTGTTATAATTTTCTTTTATAATTTTCCTAAACAAATTATTTATATTTTCTCTAATAAATTTTTAATAATTTAATTATGTAAGTTTTTATATTATATATTAAAGAATATTTTTTTATGCTCCCGATAATGGAACCTTGAGCTGTCATCCACCATCCTGTGATTTTCTTGTGAGTGGCTAAAACTTGGTGTTCTTACCGGATATCTGCTGTAGAGATGATTTATTGAGTTCAGTGCGGCCGTATTGAAGTACAAAATGTTCAATACGGCCGTACTGAACCTCTGGGAGGCCGTATTGGGCTTCATTCCTCCCACTTTTCTTATTTTAGCTATCCTAAGACCTCTAGACCTATAGAGAACCCTCCTTGGGCCTTCTGGAAGTCCTTCTGGCTGATCTTCCTTCAGTCTTCGAGAGTCTTCAAGCTTTATTTCCGACCCGGACAATTTTAGGGGTCTACA